CTGCTTAACAATAGCGGAATGATGGCCATTTTAAGGCCGAAAATGCGTCAAAATCACTCATTTTCACAATTCCAGAACCGGATCTCAGTCATGCATGGATGGATTTTGTTCAGATTTAGCACAATGTGTTGTACATATGCAGGTGCATTTCGGTCGTGATCTGCTTTGAATGCATATGTCACTCAAATATGAACGGAACGGGGACGTGTCATTGACAATGACTTGTTAACATGAAATTCTGTAATAGACGGCCATTAGTCGGATTTCATACTCTATAAATAGATGTTACCCACTAGTATGTCACTCCATATGTTTTAATTGTATTTTTGTGTCATTTTAAGATTTCTTTCAATAATATCCCGACATGTTCTGTATTCACTGACATGTGTCATCTTTTACAATATCCTGACATGTTCTGTATTCTGACGTGTGATATTTCTTTCGAAAAACATCCTGACATGTTCTGTTTTCACTGACACGTCTTTCAATAATATTCTGACATGTTTTGTATTCTGACTTCTGACATGTGATATTTCTGTCAAAAACATCCTGACATGTTGTTTTCACTGACAAATGTCTTTTAATAATATCCTGACATGTTTTGTATTCTGACTTCTGACATGTGATATTTCTGTCAAAAACATCCTGACATGTTCTGTTTTCACTGACACGTGTCATCTTTTTCAATATCCTGACATGTTCTGTATTCACTGACATGTGTAATCTTTTACAATATCCTGACATGTTCTGTATTCACTGACATGTGTCATCTTTTACAATATCCTGACATGTTCTGTATTCACTGACATGTGTCATCTTTTTCAATATCCTGACATGTTCTGTATTCACTGACATATCATCTTTTTCAATATCCTGACATGTTCTGTATTCACTGACATGTCATCTTTTTCAATATCCTGACATGTTCTGTATTCACTGACATATCATCTTTTTCAATATCCTGACATGTTCTGTATTCACTGACATATCATCTTTTTCAATATTCTGACATGTTCTGTATTCACTGACATGTGTCATCTTTTTCAATATTCTGACATGTTCTGTATTCACTGACATGTGTAATCTTTTACAATATCCTGACATGTTCTGTATTCTGACGTGTGATATTTCTTTCAAAAACATCCTGTCTTTCAAAAACATCCTGACATGTTCTGTATTCTCTGACATGTCATTTATTTCAATAACATCGTGACATGTTCTGTATTCTGACGTATGTGATTTCTTTTGAAAACATCGTGACATGTTCTGTATTCTGACGTATGTGATTTCTTTTGAAAACATCGTGACATGTTCTATATTCTGACATGTGAGATTCCTTTCAAAAACATCTCAACATTTCTTTTAATGTATTATTGCATTTCTGTAAATTTATCACCTTGTAAGTTTCATATTATTATTAACACTTTGTAAAAATGTCATTGTATAATTTTAGTTTAGAGTATATAATAATTATGTATAATCCCACAATAATTTCTTTGGTGACATCAACAGACACAAGTGATTACTGCCAGAGTTGTATTGATGGTACTCTGGAGGTAATCATATGCATATTTCCACAACAGGAAAAGTGGAACAGCGAAGTGTGGAAAGTAGAACTATTTTTGAAATAACACTGAATACAAATAATATTATTTTGTGTGCCTTGTACATGTATGCTAATTATATTGAAACCTCAGGGTTCTATTTCATGGCATTTTCAAACAATTTTTTGGTGGGCTTTTAATAATAATCCAAAACATCACATGACCTTGCAAAAATGAAACATTCATACCACAATCTTCAGTTATTAAACAATGTATAAACCTAGAAGCTGGGGACAACGTCAAACTATGCTATATGCATCTTCAATCTGTCCTGTAATTTGTCACACTGTTAAGATGTGCATGTTATCCATGGTGTTAATACTGCATATATCAAATACTAATATTTAATGCTTGTGTGTACTATTACTACTAACAGACAATCTGTAGTCAGAATTGTTGTATCATTTGACCATATCTCAGAGTTCCATTCACGCTGCTGTCAATCGGATGTTTGACTTTAACCACTGGTGGCACTCTACTGCAGATAGTGTACTATACTTTTGTGAATTTTAAAGTAGTAGATCATATAAGATTTACTTCAAAAATTTTCTGCAAACATTTCATTTAATATTGTATTTGTGTGTTCGGTCCATTTGCCCCTATTGAACAGGTTTTTATATTCTAAGGCCCCTTAAGCAAGTTACCATTGATATGTTGATCTGTAAGTATTATGAATATACGGTAATTTGTTTGTTTGTTATGTGTTGTAGGTACAGCCACTGCTGGCGGTATGAGTACAGCTAGTTCTACAGATACAGTGACAACGCAGACTCCCCCAGACAAACTGTCATTGAAAAATATGTTACTACTGAGTGGTGGAGAAGGATACATTGACTTTCGTATCGGTAAGTCACATAAAATATTGACTTTCGTATCGGTAAGTCACATAATAAATTGACTTTCGTATCGCTAAGTCACATAAAATATTGACTTTTGTATCGCTAAGTCACATAAAATATTGACTTTTGTATCGCTAAGTCACATAAAATATCGACTTTTGTATCGCTAAGTCACATAAATGATAAATCTGATGAATATAAACATGATTTAGTCTACTGTAGAGTGGCAAGGATAAAGTAGAAAAAATAAGTTACCCTTATATTTTAAACAGGCACAATTACATTAGCCCTCTTTTTTTTCTTGTATAGGTGATGGGGATGATGAGGAAGATGCCAGTAGTAACTATGGTGATATGCAAATGACTAGCACAAAGATAGCCAGATCGGAGAGAAGTCACCTGATAGTTTGGCAGGTAACCGGTGTATCTCCATAAAAGTCAACTGTATGTCCATTTCTTCCAAGACTCACAGATTCAACTGTTTGGCGTGATGAGGTTCACTTTTGTAGTGATTTTGCGCCATCACTACGTGTGATGATTTGTAACAAAATCTTGATTTAATCCCAAACATATATATGTATGTTATTCATTTTTTGGAATTGTCAGAAATGTTTTTGTTTTAATGATTGCAACTACTGTCGGTGGTTTTATATTATTTATCATCGTTTTTGTGGATTGCAGCTTTGGTGTAGATAATATGTGAAAATAGATTTTTTATGTTAAATGTATAAATATTTACTTCACCAGTATCATTAAGGGAATATTGAAGAAAAAAAAATACATGTTTATTTTCCATATTGTAGGATTCATTTTAAAGGATGGATTTTGGCTTGCAATACAAAACATCTCTTTGCACCCCATAGCCACACAATGTACATAATCAAAATGCTATGCTTTAAAAGCTTGTTGAAGACGTAGATAACTTGTGTTATGTTTGTAATTTATTTCACATAATGGTCTTCTTGATAATTCCATAAGTCAGTAATTTTTTATTTATTTGCATATCATAAAAACAAACTTAATTAGATTTTAATAGTTAAGGAGCTTCAAACTGAATTGAAGATTACATGTCACCTGTGTGTTTCATTATTAACAATTAATGTCAGTAAGTTAATAATGAAAACAAAAATTGGTCTTCAAACATTTTTTCGAGAAATTTACATTTTTTGAACGGCATTGAATCAACATGCTTAGTAGTTCAAGATTTGAATTTGGTCTGAACTGCTTTAAACGAAAACCGAATTTACAACATTGGTGCAAAAATTTTAATTTAGTTACAACATGTACCGGTAGTAGTAAGAGCTGCTTCAGACTGGTTTGAACTGGATTCAGATAACTACAATTCAGATTGCTAAATAGTTTGAATGAAATAATAAATTCTTATAAGAATCGCAAATTGAAACCATAATTTCAATGGTGTCGTAAGTACTGCCTTTCTTCTAAGATAGAAACTGTTTAGTTAACAGTAATCAATTTTGTGTAGAGGTAAAAGTAATGTAAGTTAAAGTTGTAATGTTGACAAAATTTTGTTTGAAACCTTCGACAAGTTAAGTGCCGGAATATGTGTACTGTAATAAATAGCTACAGTATTCATGAGATATACTTGCCAATAACGTCTATGGAACAGTTACAGCATCTTAGGGTGTCTTCAAGTTACTTTGTTTTCAGCATCTTAGGTTGTCATCAAGCCTCTGTGTTTTCAGCATCTTAGGATGTCATTAAGCCTCTGTGTTTTCAGCATCTTAGGGTGTCATCAAGCCACAGTTTTTTCAGCATCTTAAGGTGTCATCAAGTCAGTGTTTTCAGCATCTTAGGTTGTCGTCAAGTCTCTGTGTTTTCAGCATCTTAGGTTGTCATCAAGCCTCTGTGTTTTCAGCATCTTAGGATGTCATTAAGTTGCAGTGTTTTCAGCATCTTAGGGTGTCATCAAGCCACAGTTTTTTCAGCATCATAGGGTGTCATCAAGTCACTGTTTTCAGCATCTTAGGGTGTCATCAAGGCAGTGTTTTCAGCATCTTAGGGTGTCATCAAGTCAGTGTTTTCAGCATCTTAGGGTGTCATCAAGCCACAGATTTTTCAGCATCTTAGGGTGTTATCAAGTCACTGTTTTCAGCATCTTAGGGTGTCATCAAGAGTTTTCAGTATCTTAGGATGTCATCAAGTCACCTTTTTCAGCATCTTAGAATGTCATCAAGTCATGAGTTTTCAGCATCTTAGGGTGTCATCAAGTCACTGTTTACAGCATCTTAGGGTGTCATCAAGTCACTGTTTTCAGCATCTTAAGGTGTTACCCAATGGCACATTACATATTCCCTCGGGTAGTTGTATTTAGTGTGTACCTGAAACAGAATTTGAACAGCAGTACATGATATGATTTTTGGCCAGCTAAGTTACTCATAATTAAAAGAAAGGGCTTTCAACTGAGTTTTGCTGACAATACAACTTTTCAATACTAAATGTGGCATGATGAAAGAGCAAAACAAGATATGTGATGTGAACATTGAGTTCAACACGTGTGAATGGATTATGTTCACTCAGCTTGAATGCTCAACGCATTCTATTATTACTGGTACATTGTAAACAGTTGGTAATTAAGAAAAGAGCAGTTTGATTGCTGCATGAGATTCCATACTGCAAAGGACACTAAACTGTCTGAGGCTGATTATTTAAGCCAGGCCCAACAACAACTTGCTCTCTGGATTCCTTTTGTGAAATGAAATCACAGGCTGTTTTGGTGCTGTGAGATATGGTTGGCAAGATTTCCTAGTGGAAACAAATCCTCATTTCTGCAATTTTGTTGCATGAAGTTTTAACATAAACAATTTTTGTTCCCTGTCTTTGGGTTTCAACTGCAAACAATTCATTGAGCAAGTTTTTTGGTGGGTCTAGCCTTATCTCTTTTTTTTGAGTAATACTGACATCTACATTCAATGTTATCTTTAGTCTGTCACATAATGCAACAATATTTATACGTGTTCATTTTAGCCAACCAATCGTACATGTATACCTTATAACAAAGCATTTGACAAATTTTACATAAACTTTGGTAATCCAGGTATACTCTAACCATACTGTTATTTGGATAAATAGTAATAGTATTTAACTGCCAATGAAATCACTTATGTTGTTTGCTTCCCCAGCTATTTGAGACGCATTATCAGTGTATTCAAGTTTATTGTGTAAATGTTCAGAATTAACAAAAATGTGAGTCAAAATAAATGCACAACTTGAAATGTTTTGTCTCTAGAATGTCTTGCTTATTTTACCCTTTCAAGTGTGCTAACTGGAATCAACAGCCATTCTTGTAGCATGTGTGTGTTGTCATAACAAACATTGCACCTTGAGCAAGTGATAGGACCCCCCCCCCCCCCCCCGGGTCAAAGTGCATTTGGACCCTATTGTTTAGTCCAGAAAACTGACTTATTTCACCTTCATCTCAGACATACTTGGGCCAATGTCATTCAAACGTGGCCCAATTGCAAGCATTTTAGTGCTAAAACAAAACTAAGACATATTTCAAACATAATTTTTTCGCAGATCTGATTCATAATGGCTGTTCCCAAGACCAAATCTGACATGTCTTGACAGATAGCTTCACACCCGTTTTAAGATGGTCAAATAGCTACAATTTCAGTTGTGTCAATTAATATTTCACAATCCTTAGGTTGAGAGGTTTGAGTAAAAAGGGGAGTTTATTGACACTTGGTGGCGCTATTAAACAGGCTGGTTGAATAGTTTCAATAGAAACGTCTATGAATCAGAAACGTTTCAACAGGAAAACAGAGTGGCAAAACATCAAAATGGTCAAATTATTTCATTCACCTTACCCCATTTATCTTGCGCAGTGAATGAAGTTAGATACTACCAATTTATGATTTAATTGGTTGTATTATTGGGTTTTGTGAGCATCTGACAGTGAGCGTGTATACTTTTGTTGCTACTGTAACCGTCGCAACACGTAGATTAAAGGTCACTATTATACTGTTGGGGAGTACAATAAATGGAACCTCTACATGCATAATTTTAGAATGATTTGATTTTTTTTTCATTTGAAATGGGTATACTAATATATTGGATATTCCAGGCATACTTTAAATGTATTTCAGAAAGTAATTAACCATTAAATTGTCAATACACAAGAGCACCTGTTTCCAGTGAACTCTGGCCACCTCACAAAAATAGGGGAAATAATATTAATCAGAACAGAAAGAAAAGGCTTGAAGTAATGCTACATGCTTGATGCAAGCCTAATAATGCCACAAAATAAGATGCATTATGATTTTGTAAAATAATATTCTTCTGTGTACTCTTGGTGCAACAAAGGCATTCCTTCATCTTTATAAATATCAATGGTAGCAAATCAAATTACGAGCACAGTATGCAATGGACCAATAGAAACCACCCATTTCAATTTGAACTGTGAAATTTTTAGAGATGAAGGGAATGCCTTTGGTGCACCAAGAGTATGTGTAATGGATAAACAAGTTTGGAAGTTTTAATTTACATATTAAAACAGGTACAATTTGCATTAAACCACTTGTGCAAATAAACTTTCATGTTTACTTAGATATTTAAATTATTTAAACCATACAGTTGCATTCATATTTTATGTTTTTTTATAAAACTATAGGGTTTACTAATTTATAATCCATGTGACCGTGAAGGTTTTCTAATTTGCATACGAAAAATGATAATAAAAATGCTTAGAACAATGGTGCAAGAGACAGAGTGGTATAATTTATGCATTACATACACCCCCTCTTTGAAGATTACCAGAAACATCACAAGGCAAAATCAAAATGGCAGTTTAAAAACAGAAATACAATAAATGGTATGGCTTGAAATAAATGAAAACTGAATGCTTTATCATCACAAGGAAGATAATCAGATGAGACAACCCACTGCCTACCTTCCTAATTCCACTTTAATTAGACACAGGGTTTACAGAGATAACATGATTAAATGACAGCGAGAAATTTCTAAATTTTAATACAATTTACAAACATGATTGTGCATAATATTAAAATGATGCATTATGGGAAGATATATCACTATTTGCCATAGCAACATATCTTTATTGGCTCAAACATGTAGTACACACACATTGCAGTAGAATGGACAAATGCCATGAATTATTACTTTACTGTGAACACATTGCAATGGGGAGATTAGGCTCTCAATCAGATTCATATTTTAGAACACTGCCCTCAGTGTTGAATATTGATAAACTTCAGTTTATTTTCTTTTATAAATACAGAAGGCTGCGTCAAAGGTCAATGACTTGCTAAGTTATCTTCAAATAGTAAAAATGATACAATAGGGCATTAATTACATTAGAGCACTCACAAATTGAAAACAAATTTAAAAGAATAAATAATAGTGTGATAGACCTTTCTTTGGCATTCATTTATTGTCCATTGTTATTTACTGACAATCTAAATAATTATGTGTGCAAGACAATCATGAACTTAAACATAATTCATGTTTACTGAACAAGTTTGATAAATACTGTATGAAAATCAGTTGTGTCCTCAAGGAGTCATTAATAACAATGCAACCATATGTCTGCTCACAGTTCCTTATGACAGGTGTCCTGCTGTAACACAATAGATTTGGTTGCATATTGAACTAAAATGATGGCAATGACATCAAACCTTCCATTCAGACTAATACTAAGATATTAAAAGTGGATTCAGTTTGAACCACAAGACATATCTACCATCTATGTGTCACTGTCTTCAATGTCTTCACCAGAAAGTAAATAACTAGGCAATGACTTTATAATTAGGAGCCTTTAATGCAACATTATTTTCTCAGCCAGTACAGAATAACATGATATGGTCACATGACAGCGTAAATGTGAAATAGACAAGACAAACATCAATAAACACCTATAACCTTCCAATGCTAATCATCTATTCAGAAAATTGTGCATTGTTTTTGCATAACTTAATGTCCAACTGCTTCCAGCAGTGCATTTTTACTTATATTACCATGGAGAGGACACACAGACAGTAATGCATGATGGGAAACTCAATTTGTGCCATATACCATATAAAACACTGCCCTCTGTGTTCATTTCTCTGCAATATATATATACTTCTAGCATTTACAACATTTAACCCTTATCCTGCCTGCCTGCCAGCCACAACATAATTTACATTGACTTGACCAGATAAAAGTTAAACAGCAAATTGATTCTGAATATTGTTGGGATATATTGTTACTGCTCCAGCTGTTTCCATAGCAACTGGTGATTGCAACCCATCAGATGATAGTGTCTCTGGCATAAAACTGTGTTGGTGAACCAATCCATCCCATCCACATGTGAGAAGTGTGTTGTCAGTGGGACTCCATGATAAACCATGAACAAAGTCTTTATGTACTCTGCTGCGATAACTGGTAACAAAACCAAAGAATCAGAGTTAATGATGAAGTTAATGATGAAGTTAATGAAACGGCACTGGTGATAAAAAGTAACACATTATGCCATAGACATTCAACAGAGTGGTCATGTTTTGTAACAAATTTGGTCTGTGAAATACAGAACAAAATGGCTGACAGTAACTGCATCTAATTGCACTGACATGTACCTGTAATATGATTATGTCACACAAATTTTGAAAAGAGTAGGTCAGAAAAATGGAGATAAACATGCACAGTAGGCCAAACAAGATCCAAATTAATATTCTTCATTTTCAGCTACCGTCTAAAGATACTGTATGAATTAAGAGAAATTAAATATAAAAACTATTTCAATGACATTATTAACCACATTTCAATTTATGGCTTTAAAGCAGGAGGGTCGTCACCTGCGCACGCGCGGGAATCAAGTCCTAAGTGACGATAACAACACACGCTAAAAACGCTAAGGCTCATGGGTAGACACTTGTATGTAAACAATGACACGCTATGGCCATCTGACGTATACGCGGGTGATGACTCCGCCTTAAACTGTAAACTGTGGTTTATTCTATCTATCTATCTAAAAAACTTATATAGCGCCGGTATCCAAAACTAAGTTTTGTTCAAAGGCGCTGAAAGCAAACACTACAAAGAGTTCAACACTGTAGGCTTTGCTGAACAAGTAGGTCTTAACTTCACGAAGATCAAGTGGAAGGTCATTCCAGAGTTTTGGAGCTGCATATGAGAAAGCACGTCCACCATATGTTTTCTGTCTGTAGTTAGTGTTATGGAGAAGCTTCTTATTGAAAGAACGAAGACAGCGACTGGGTGTGTACACATGAAGTAGATCAAGTTTGTAGTTTGGAGCAAGTCCATTCAGAGCTTTGAATGTCAACAGCATAAGTTTGTAGTCAATTCTATAACGAACAGGTAGCCAATGTAACTTCTGTAGAACTGGAGATATGTGATCATATTTTCTAGTGCGGGTGATGATTTTTGCAGCAGTATTTTGAGCCTGTTGAAGAAGATTGATGCCAATGTCTGGCAGTCCAAATAATAATGAATTCCCATAATCAAACTTAGCAGATAGAACAGCATGAATTAGTGTCTGGCAGGTGTCATTACTGAGATATTTCCTAATGCGACTGATGCGACAAAGATGATTGTAGATGGATCTGCAAGTAATCTTGATGTGAGTGTTGAACATACGAGTATTGTCAAAAGTAACTCCCATGTTACGAGCAGATGTTACTGGTGCAAGTGAACTGGTACAAATGGTGATTTTGTCAATTGATCAAGCAACTTGGTAAACTTAGAGCGAATGAGCAGTACT